TCGCTCGGGATTTCGTTGTCTGATGTAATAAATGATTCCCAACGTAATAACGCATCCCCAAGGTCAAGGTAATCCCTGAACTGTAAAGTTTTTATAGATAATTACACCTCCGTGGATTTCCCGCTTCGCGAGTTATAGGATACTTGGCCGGAGCTGCTTTACGCCCATCGTCGACGCGCGAATGCTCCCGCGAACGCGACCATTACCAGCCAAATGAACGCCGTTACTATCGCAACGATCCACGGCAACGACAACGGACATTCGCGTAGCCCCGGATACCGCATGGGCGCGAAACTCTCGTGGATGATGTCGGTCGTCGTGTGGATCGGAGGTGGACGATGGCCTCGCCTCGCCTCATCCCAACTCGACTCGAGTCCCCGTCGCTGCACGAACTTCCGAAAACTGAAACTGCCGAAAATTGAAACGGTCGGACCGCTAAGATTGTACCCGCAGCTCGCACGCTCGCTCCTCGTGCACGCCGCCGCGAAATTGCGAAACGACGATATCGCGTGCACCGCGCGACGTTATATTCGCCACCGCGGGACAACGACGTGGCGAAACTTTGACTCGCACCTGCCGGCATGCAAACGAGGGACTCGGAACGTTGCGAATAGTTGAAGGTTACTAATGTCGAAGGCGAGAGATCGCGCGACGAGCTTTCGCAGCGGCTATCGTCGCCTTTATTACATGGATGCTTTTATGCGACAGCAGAATCGGTTATCTCACCGAAGTAACGTTGAATAAGTTATTCTTCCGCTTCTTTCCCATTATTCCGCTTCTTCGTTGTAGCTTACTTCTTCTTCGCACAGGCTATCGAGCCACCTTCGTTGACTTATGTAGCAATCCCGACGAGCTCCTCGAGAAGGTAACTGACGCGAAACTGGTCGTAGGATAAAAATACTGGAAACCCTGCGAGAGAGCAGAAATAATAATTTCGCGACAATACGTACTCAAAAGCGTTAATACCAGTCCGGTGGATACTTCAATATGGGGTTCGGAGGTCGATCCCATACGAGTTTCGAGGTTCAAAATAAAAGAAGCCATTAAAAATCGGTTGAACGCGACAATTGTTCTTTCGCCCTATATACTTGTACCGCTCGCTCGCTCTCTGTATGTATGTATATTTAACGATTCTCTTTATGCGACTTTTGCCGTCTCGAAACTCCCCGCTGTCGGCGACAATTGCCGCACTTTGCGAGAGATCCGCGCTCACTTCGCGCGGATAAAATAACGAGACCGTAAGTATAACGGAACAACTGAAATATTACCCTCGCTTTTATTCCGCGACGGCAATCTCGTCGGTCTTTGTCGAACGCGATACGAGCCCGAAGCTAATTTCCATGCCGACAAGCGCGGAGTTATAAAGAGACGGGCGCGAGCGAGGGAAGTTGGGCGAAGCAGGGAAATTACTATAATCAACCCTATGACGGAGTAACAATTACCTACACATCGCAGTGTCTTTAAGAGTCCAAGTACAAGACGGGACTTGAAAGGATGACTTCCAAACTCGAGGACGAATTGCTTCGCTCGCTCGACGTTATCCTCAACTGACAGCCCACTGTTGGTCAGATGTGTTTCACCGCAATTTCACCAACACTTCCGCGCAATCACAGAAATAGGGAAGATGTCGGTTTGTGAAGCTGTCGAAAACAGATTTTGAGTACGCAACAATATTAGCGAACGTGAAATTCGATCAATATCAAAGATATTTTTCGTATGTACTATTGAAATTTGATAATGAGATTCTTTCTCTCTTTCTCTTATAGTTATTATAGTTAAAACTTTCATTAACAGAGCAAAACTCTTATCATAGTTGTCACCTATACAGTTGCTATTATCATGTTTTTTCTCGGAGTGCAGAATGAATTCTTCACTTTTAATCGCCGAGCAAATACCTTCACTCGAAGTCAAGGGATGAATCTGATTCTTCATTCTGCTCCACCATCATAGAAACATATTCACTTTAATTTTGGCTGAAACACTCACTCATATGGAGTCATAATACATTTCAAGCTTGGATAAAATTTTTAGTTTTATCCTGCACCAACATTATTTTAGCTTTAAGCGAAACTTAAACATATATCTATCTTTATCTTTCTTTCTAAATGAATAAAGACAGACGTATATTTAAGTCTCACTTAAAACCAAAATAATGTTGGTGCAACCGGGCCTTACTTTTGCAATTTTTAAAGTGGCAATATTTTTATTATCGCTTCGAACGAAAAGACCGCCACTTTTCAAAACTTGTTTTGTGTGAGATTCCACCGCAAAAAGTTTAGAGAGCATCTTGTATCTTCACTCGCACCTTTTGACCTCCCTCAATTATCGTGACATCTTTCCATTGGGAAAAAATCCTCACAACCGTTACGCGATGAGGAGCGCCGAGTCCCTCCATGCCTCCTCCAAGGGTAGAAGAAGTTGATCCCGACCGGGACGAGCGGCGGTCGCGGCAAGAATTTTCTGAACGCCCTAAGTAATATCCGACTCGGCGACATCGCGCGCACATCCGCGAGGGCCGCCTATTGAATTTATTATTATGCATTTATGCAGATTGAAATTAATATTAGGGAAACCGAAGAGAGAGCACGAATCCACGCGCGACGTTGGTGACGGCGACGCGCGCGATTTCGAAGGGTGATTCCATGGAAATCCCGCGATTGAATTCGAGGTCATGATTAGTTTCCCCCGGCTCACTTTTCTCCACGTCCTCTTCCCGCCGGTACACATGCCCGGCGAATAAGGGATATTCCAGAACTCTGTTACTTCCCCATCGTTCCCGCTTGATCTACGTTCGGCTGGGCGAAGTAATGTGTTTCGCCAATTACTTTCTCATTCACTCTCGCGTTGGAGTCTCCATTACATTTATTGCGCCTCGTATAATTCCTCTCTCTCTCTTTCCCTCAGAAACGATTGCAGGAGATCCGGAAAGATGAGATCTCCGGCCCCTCGATGATCTCTCGATGTCGCAATGTCGAGAGATATCGGGTTAATCGTCGAAGTGATCGATTGCTGGATAAATTGAGGAGGAGAAATTCGTAATCCAAAATCACGTTAATGCGATTCAAAATGAATCGAGCTCGATAAACAGACATGACCGATTCGGTAACAATTAGATCTCAGTTCTTTACTTTTCATAACTCTGTTTGCAGAGACATATCCTCTACCTGTTTGTTCTCCCTTGGACAGATCCATTAACACTTGAAAAACCAAGGTAGCCAATTTAGCTCCTCATAAAATTCAAACGGCTATAACTTTTTTCAATTTCTCTGTCATGTGATAACCTTTTATGACTTTTCATCATATCTTTAATTTTGGTAAAAAAAAGAATTTAATTACATAAGATGGTGTGTTGAATTTTTATTTAATTGTCTACCTAGAAGGACCGTTGGAGCCAATTTGGCTCCCTTATTTTTAATATTGCATTCACATATGTTTCTCGATTTTATTAACAAGTTTTATGACTTTAAACAAATAAATAAATATTTTTATACATATGTATCTATTTTTTTACTTAAAAAATAATTGTATACATGTGAATGCAATATCAGAAATAAAGGAGCCAAATTGGTTCTAACGGTCCTTCTAGGTGGACAATTAAATAAAAATTCAACCACTATCTTACATAATTAAATTTTTTTTTACCAAAATTAAGAATATGATGAAAAGTCACAAGAGGTTATCACATGAAAAAGAAATTGAAAAAAGTTATAGCTGTTTGAAAGCCAAATTGGCTACGTTGATTCTTCTAGGATTAATATTTTTGATATCACATTGAAATATTTCTTTCAACTTCCGACAGACAGCGCTTGTTTTAGATATTTTATAGAGATGCGCCACTATTAAATATACATTCGCGCACTTCGAAGTGCCGTGAAGTGTCGGTCATGGTTCACGTGCCGTTCTCCACTTACCGCCGCGATTATCGGTTCGATTCCCGACACTTTTAGCCGATACAAACGGTGGTAGCGGCGTGGGGTCGTCGGAAGCGCCGTCGGAAAAACGCCATTTAAATTCCGGATAACGTGCCAGGCGAAACGTTTTTATTGCGCTTTATTAGGCGGGCGCGGCGTAAAGGCAACATTTTCGTAATTCGCTTTCGGAACACGCGTGCCGCCGCTTCCGGCAATTGGCGCGCGCACTTCGGCCGGTAATCACGACGGTAAAATCCGCTTTTATTAAACTCGAGTCGCCATAACTCAGTCGCGCGCGCGCGATACAATTGTTGCCGATACGCGAGTGGCCGAATATAATGCCGCAGTGTACCGCGGCATCGCGTATAAATTTCGATCCTTATGGGGCCGCGAATTCTTCATATATTTTCGCGAACGCGCAACACGTGCGCGCGGCCCCGGCGGGTAGACGATATTCCGAGCATCGAAAATAGATATATTGAAACGCGCGTCGTGGCGCGATCGTACGTACGTGCCGCCATCGATTGAACGTGTACCAAGGTTCCCGCGAGTGGCTGCTTCGGCAACAACTGCCGGGAACAACAGGTACGACGCATTCAAGAACATAAAGACGCAAAGATAGAGCGGTAAAATAAATCGTGCCACACCACCGCCGCGCGGAGGAGCGTTATCGGCAATGTAGCAAACGACGGCAACGTCATAAAACGTTCGTAATTCCCACGCGATTTCGCACGTTGCAGAATAATATAAATACACGAGAAGAGAGTTGGCCGTATAATTAATACACAAAACTGGCTGGATGGAAAAGGCAAAAAAGAGTGGATTTAACTCCTCGCGTCGGGTACGCGCCGATGTGTTGGCTCGACGTTGAGATTCGATACCAAAAAGAGCTTTGTATCTAAAAGAATCATCCCGTCTGTATAATGCAATTAAATCAACGTTCTGTTTCAATAGGAACGAACAGGCAGGAGCGGGACGACTCGTCGCAAATTTACCGCTCCGCAAAATCGACGGCCAGGGAGAACCGTCGGAAATCGTCCAACGCGCGAATATCGGGAAGGAAAGAAGAATATCGGAGGAATAAAGAAGTATCGAAAAACCAATTTTATTGAGATTTGCTGTGAAAAATATGTGCGTGCGTGCGTCGTCCATGTCGGCGCAGCGACGTCTGGCGAATGATGGAATCGAGGGGAAACGTAATGCAGTAAAAACGCCGGCTGTTGCATTTTTCAGCGATAATACTGCTCGTGCCGTCACTTTTTTTCTGCACGCTCAATCGCGATATCGCTTTTATTAGCCGCGTATTTCCTGAAAATGCACAGAGAAACGTGAATAGAATTGCCTCTTTAAAATTTCATCGCATCTATCGCTCGGGACAATCCGAAGAACGAGAGGCGGAGAGGACACACCGCGTAATATACTTGACTCAAATAATAACAATTAAATACATCGACATTAAACGGGAAAAAAGAAAGAAAGAATCCTACATAGAAAAAATACGTTTCCGCGATTGTTCCGAGCGGCGTCATAATTGCACACAGAGAAGAAGACACGCACACACACACACACACATACTTACCTCACCTCACTTCTTTATTTTTCTTTATTTTAGTCAGGCGCCGTAAAACTTCCGTGGCTTTCGTATGACCGTCGCTATTCAAGCCCGCGCGTTTCCGCGACTTCCGGGGATTCATCCTAAATCCATTTAATCCCTGCACTCGATAAGGTCGCGCAATAGTGGAGATAGTTAACGGCACTCCCGTAGGGAACTGCGCGTATCTCCAAAAGTCGTTCGCCAGCGGTGATATCTTGGCCGGAACGTCGGCGTTTTTCGCGCACCCGTTGATTTCATTACGCCGTTGGGGCGCGCGCCCGCCGTGCTTTTTGTTCTGCAAGCGTTCAAACACGGGGTATCTCGTCCGATTCGGAGGCTTCCGCGACAGGATGTCCTTCAGAGACTGCCTCAGGCAATTACCGGGCGCCGTGGAAGTGGCGTTTTCCGCCGCGGCTTCGACAGCACCTGCGATAGGACGATATCGCGCAGTCACCGCGCTGAGATTGATCATCGTCGAGACGTTCGGAATCTTTAGGTCGATCGGAACGAGACTTGCAACCGTCGTTACATCGGGCTCCTTCAAATTCGAGAAGATCTTTGCCGTCGGGATTTCGGCCTTCGCGGTTGAATTCAAATTGCCCGTTGAACAATCATTTTTGTACAACACTTTGTGCAACGTTATCGGCGACGAATACGGATGCAAATGATGATAATAATTACCCAAAGATTCGGTCGTCCAAGACTGATTGGCGCTTAAATTGCGCGACTTACTAGCAGCCAACGAGGTTGCCATCCTTTCTTTTATCAGAGCTTGCCTAAAATTAACATGTCCGGTTAGTTAATATCCAGATGCTAACTGACTTTGACCACGTAAGTGCAATGACAATCTTTGCTTAGATTTAAGATTGAGAGAAAAGATGTTACGTCAACTTTGCAATTTCCAAAGTCGACCTCCTCTAGAGCGAAGTTTCATGTTAAAAATATATTCTAAACTTTCATTCGTACATCAACTACATCAATCAGAAATCGGTTGACATTTACCATGAATACACTCTGGTTTCTCTCTGAGAAAAAAATAATTGAAAATTTATTTGCGGGATATAAAGTTTATTCGCAAAAATAAATTTTACTTCGCCAAAATAAACTTTATATGCTACAAATAAATTTTTTAATGTGGAGCAACCAGATATCCTATCACTACTGTAACGCCAGTAACTCAGTAATTGTCCTGTGATTGCAACAACTACATAATTAGTTGTTAGTGTTGAATCTGATTAGTACAACAAGATTTATGTGTGAACCAACCATTTGAGCCAACCATCGAGTTGATTTTCCGTGTAGAGAATCATCTCTTCTAATTGTATCGCGAATATAATGTGGATAGACTCCTTGTATTTAATGAAAATTCTTTCAACAAAAATTTTTTCTCAAACAAAAATTCCGGGCAAACGCACACAGACCATCGACGATTTCTTTAAGGACAAACTAACTGTAAATTGGTGTGATAAGGCGTGCTGACGAGGTATAACGCGACAGAGGCGGTACACGTAGTGCCAGTCGTAAAACTCGCGTAACTTTGGGTCGGTCGCGAAGGTAGCGATTCGATAAATTCATCATCCGAGACTTCCCTCGCTCCCCTCTCAGCTTAAATCCCAACTTAAATAGACGCGAGAAGCGTGTACCGGACTAAGTTCGAGCGAGTTTGATTACAAGAGAACGTGTCTCCGACTGCACTTACCGTCGGTAAATAAGCTGCTACTGAATTGTTAAAGCTCATCAAAGAATCTCCCGCTATTCGCGCATTTACAAGTTTTCGCGAGACGCAGGTGTTTAAACAAACGTACGTTATCTCAACCTGCCACAAATATGTGATTATCAAGGACGGTAGGGAATCATTGAATCTAGAGATAAGTCATTTTCACAACAAGATCTATGTGTGAACCAACCATACTGATTTTCCGTGTAGAAAATTATCTCTTCTGATTGTATCGCGAATATAATGTGAATAGACTTCTTGTACTTGATGAAAATTCTTTCAACGAAAACTTGGCACAACAAGATTTATGCTACATTGTTTCCAGTAACGATTTGTTCGATTTGTCCGATATAAATTAAAGTTTAGTTTAAAGCTCCTGACCTCTCGCATTGTCTATTTAATGACGTTAGAAGCGAGAAAATACATATCAAAAATTCTTGCAAAATATTGTTAAAATACAAATATTGGTAAAAAAAGACCGAGCACTTCGTTGTCGAGCGAACATCACGCGAGCTTTGCGTGACAGATGAGAGAGTGAGAAGCATCAGGCCAAATCGCAACGAGAAAAACCAACGTATCGATGTATTGACGGATGTCAGTACATAGAGATCGCGTTTCTCGAAGCTTCGAGAAGCTTCTGTGCTGTTTACTGCCTTCCTTTAAACGATTAAAAGGCTCCTACTTGGAGTTGCTCTCGTCGCACGGCCGCGCTTCTTCCTATGAAAAATTTAATTTACAAGTTCTCTACATCTTCCGACGATCGTTGCAACGAACATAATAAAGATTACTTCACACGAGCAACTGCTTTCACGGACTCATTTGCAAACTCAATTGCGTTTTTGCAATTATTCGACAAGCCACGGACGCATAGGCGCTTGCCGACTGTGACGTGCTGTGATTGGCCGAGCTACAGCCACGCTCCTTGATTTTCCGTTTAATTTTCGGATGTTCTTTATGAGTTTTGTTTGAAAAATAAGAATAAAATCACGTTATATTTTGACACTCAAGACAATTTATTTGACGAGACTCTACGCCTTTGCCTCAACATTGAACGATAATCTTTGTGGAGCTTGCTGAGTAATCTGCAACCAGACAAGCTCACGACCTTTTGAAACAAATATATATCCATAAAGTAACAATTGCAATCAATGAAACAAATTTGTAAAATATTCCGTGCATTCCCCTTTTGTTCTAACAATTAATAATTTATTGTAAATTAACCTAAATAGAAATAGACAAAGAAATAAGTCAAGGAGATGAATTATTGATTGTTGAAGCAAAAGGGGAGTGCACGGAATATCTTACAAATTTGTTTAATTAATTGTGTGCAAATGTTACTTCATGGATATATATTTTTATTTTAATGTGTTTTGAAAGAATTTTTAGCATACATTTTCTCACGTCATTAAAGAGAGATAGACAATGTGAGAGGCCAGAAAGCTTAAACGTGATTCCTTCATTTTCCACAATTTTCGAATTGAATTTAGCTATATTTTTCTTCATTACAAATAAGGACACTCAAGACATTCTCATCTTCTTACTTACAGAATCTGCATGTCGGGCTTGATCACGTCGAAAGATTCCTCCATCTGGTAATAAGCGACTATCAAAAATCGCATTAGTCGGACAAGTTTACGTTTGATGATCGAGTCCGGTTGAGCTTCTTGAAGCAGCAAAAGTCTGGACCAGTCCGATTTTAATGCGCCGAAAGGCAAGGCAGAAATCGGACACTTGAATCCAGCAGCCATCATTTTTACAGTAGGCACATCCACGAGATTAATCTTGGTCAAATAATCCTCGATCTCGTCGATATCGAGACTGACCACTTCTAAACAACGGTCCGGTAAACTATCGACGCATTTTACTGCAAAAGAACACATCGAGAAACCTCTTCCTTCAAAGTGTCTCGAACCCGTATTCTCCAGAATTGCGTGTTGCAAAATTAATTAGAAGCATAAACGATTTATTACTCTTTTCCATCTTTTATATCAATATTTTCGTATCTTTGTCGTGGATATTATTATCTAATCATTGTTATATGAATTATTACATTGTTCTGTACTGCAAGATCCCGGCTGTTAATATTTTAAGCAAAAACGTAAGCATTAAATTTGTATTCTGCTACATCTACATGACTAATAAGCGCAGACTGCAATTAAGAATTCACGAATTAAAATATTTTTATAATTGACAAATCGATTTTAACATATCCATTATTATTACTACAGAATTGACGTATCAATTTGACGTATTCGTCTTGGAAATGATATAAATCTGCAAATGCAGCATTTATTCCATTTTTTTCCAAGAACTGATATAATCTCTGCAAGTTGCAAGGATCATAATAAAATCAATCTTTCTCTCTACGCTTCCTGTGCACGCGAGCATAAAATGCGATTCCTAAAGCACTTACTGCTCAGAACGATTGTTGCGCAGAAAAGTAGAAAAACACAGGACGGCGTGTGGAACGGCACTTCTCGCGTCATGGTTTCGGCACGAACTGACATCACATAACTGAGCGGTAATCTGTGTGTATTCCGTTATTTCGTTTAGATCAGCACATTTTCAAATACGATATGTTGGCAAATGGTTAGTTACTCACGTCGCCCGTGAAGCGTAAGGTAATTCTAACTTCCCGTAAAGAGAGAAGCGCCGCATTTGACGCCACGTAAGATTGCAACGCGATATAATTCCGCTCGGAATGCATCGGAGTGTTTTCGACATCACCGCGTAGAAGAACGAGTTGACTCGGAAAAAATCCGTAAAAAGATAAAAGAATTCTTTTACTCACAATAAAACGAAATTGTCAAACTTGACGCAGCTACGCTGCTTGCAAGTAACACACGAGACGTTGACGACGTGTATTTCTTGTGCGAATCTGGGACGAGGATTTCATTCGTTATTAAATTCTCGTTTACTGCACTTCGAGTTTCTCTAATATCTTAGCAATCGCATCTGGAATTAAAATAATGATAAAATAAACGACATCCGATGTTAAACGAATTTTGTCGCGTTTATCACATTCCCCGAAGCTTAATTCGCGGAAAGACATGTGTCATATGTACTAATATTCTGTCGCTTAAAACCGTATTAAATCTATCGCAAATAATACTTTTAACATAAATGTCCCATGTACCTCGTGATAACGTTTGAAATAATAGTATGATTTTTATAAAATTTTCTAACTATCACTGACATTTTCTTTTTCTCGAGAATTAAAATGAGAAAGAAAACACCTTCTAAAGATTTTATACGTTCGGTCACAAGTTCCACACTTGGACAATTAAAGGATCAATAAACGAAGACGCTATTACCGAGGTAGTTCCATATAGTGTATCTTTTGTTGGTTTATTTTCTGCATCTCGTTGTAAATATCGTCATCCTAATTCATACACATCCACAGACACGTCTTTTTTTCATCTTTCTTTCTCTCTCTCTCTCTCTCTCTCTCTCTCTCACACATACACACACACTTCATTCACCCATCCACTTACTTTCTCCCGCGTTTTCTTTCTCTCATACAAATTATTGTAATTATGCGCATCACGATATTCCATGACGCGCTGATTTCGATCGTCGCGTAGGTGTCGCATCAGCCACATCGACGTTGGCTTTTCTCTGTTTCTTCGGTATCACTTTCGTAGATGGGTATACACCGTATTACAGACAACTCCCTCTCACAGTACGCGTAGATATAAAAATTACATATAGAATCTACCGTGTTATAATTACAAAGTAACTACGTACATATTTATAATCGGCGGCGTAGAAGCAGCATCTCTTTTCCTCATTCACAGGCGCAACTTGTTACATTGAAGGACTTGAGACAAAAGCGACGAGACTCATGAGACACGAAATGAAACAGAAAACGACTCGGTGACATTTTGACTGATTTGCGTTTCAATACACGTCAAATCACTCAAAGAAACCACGACGTGATCTTTGAGAATCTTCTCTGAGAGAAAAGATCTCTCTTTTTCTCTCTAAGAGAGTAAATATATAAATATTTTTTTCTTACAAAATAATAAATTATGCATAGTTTTATCGTTAACATAATTATTATGCTTTAATTGATAATTTCATCTCACCAAGCACGTTTCCGTTTCTATCGTTTTCGCGCTCAGTGATCGCCGTCGTGTCTCAGTATCATCTGCGAACTTCGCGTTTACGTTCAACAACGTAGCGGCGCACTTTTGCATAACGCGTACTATTCCTTTTTCCTTCTTTTCGTTTAAAATCTAAACCTTCATCGCTATTATTATTAATGCTCGATCTCAACAAGTATATTCGCACACTTAACTATTTTGTATTGTGTCTAGCGTATTGTTTGTATCGCGTTTGCTTATTTGCAACCCTGAGACTACGATTCTACCGCCACGGCGAATCGTGGTGATTATATGTACAAAGAAAATGCTCGAAAAGATATTAAACTGGCGGTACACATAAAAGTCAGTTGTGTAAAAACACTTCGCGCTCTTTTCTTCTCTTTCTTCTTCTTCTCTCTTCTTTTCGTCCCTCTCCAGTACAGCGACGGGCGCGCACGAAAATACTCACTCTAATACCTTAGCATCACTAAAAATCTTTATATCCATCGCGCCGGCGCGAGTGAGGAACGAGGGAAGGGAAGGGTAACTATGCGATATCAAGCAGCAGGAGTTGCATAATCGTCAATGATCGATCGCAAACTTCGTCGAGAAAAAAGAAATGTAAAGGATCATCGAGGGAATGGCGCAGTTCGCAGAATTTTCTATGAAGAAAGGGAAAAAAGAGAGGGAAATAGTTCTTGGACAAAATCGTCGGCGTGTGTCGTACGAGGGGGAACATTTTACGACGACATTCTGATATCTGTTTTCCTGAGTAAGAAACGTTCGAGCGAGAATCTCAAAAAGCTCGCGCGAAAGCATACTTGGGCTGCTAACGGATGGACATCGCTGATGGGCCGTCGATCATTTCCGAAACGCACGTTTTCAGCGACCAAAGTCGCGCAGCGAGGTAAAAACGCGGTTGTGAACTCGATGCACCGAATAACGCGAATATCACAGTTAAATGAGGAAGCTCGTTGGCTTCAACGAAGACGAGAAACAAAGGAGATGTATCAGAGTATCCTGTTGCACAGGGAATGTCATCAAGAGAAAGCTCTGTTTGCAAGGATTAAATCTTAATGAAAGACCGAGATAAACAACTGACAGTCAATGTGGGATGCGAACTCGTCGTAGTACAAAGTACGCGTCGTAGCGAATGCTACTATCGTGAACCTCATGGAGAATACTTGGAAAAATCTATCAAGTCTTTCTTCTTTTCCATAAACATTTTTCATTTTTACAAAAATGCTCGCGAAAAGGTAGTATATATCCGCGCGTGAAGCAAAATCGCGAACGCAACAGACTGAAGCAAATTTGTTAAACGAGTGCAAGATTGTCCATGGATTTAAATGCAGAAAGAATCAAAAGAAAGATTCCGTGTGAGTTACACATTATGAAGAGAAGATAGGACAATCGTGAGAATCGATAGAAGAGCAAAGAGGCGACGCTATCGTGTCATTAAGCGAGAAAATAAACTGCGGACTTTATTGCACTCTGCACTCATAACGATAATATCACACGTACGAGATACGGCTTTCCATAGCTAGCTCCCGCAGTTCGAATTCGCAGTGAAACTTGATTTTCCGTAATTTAACATTGATCGTAGTTCTAAACGATAGAATAAATTTCTCTCGCAACTGTCAGGATACGAGAGCGACAACAGCTGGGATCTTAAAATCGATGAAAACCGTCGTGAGGCTCACGATAATAATCTCCAAACAAAGCTGCATAAAATTTTCTCATTTTCTATGTGTGTGTGTGTGTGTGCGCGCGCGCGCGCGTGTGTGTATGTGTGTGTGTGTGTAATCTCCGTTCTCTCTTTGTAAGTTCTCGGTCATGAGTGAAGACTTTTAATAATGTTACGATCACGTATCGACGCGGAAAGTGATATTATGCGTACAACACCTGCTCGCTGATCTCTCGTAACAATATCGTGATAATTAACGATAGCTAGACAATAAAGATCCCTGAATATATATAATAATATTAATAATGATAGCACTAATAATATTAATAATAAACGCGCGCGTAATAGTAATAATAATGATCGTAAAAATAATATTAATAATTATTTTAGTAATAATATAATATTATATTCTTCTGCTCTTTCTCTTGTGTGGCACGGTCGAACGACGTATTATGATCACTTTAACAACCGGCTAAACATTTCTACTGTCAACAAAACCACGGCGACTTGGACAATATCCTATCCTTGAAACATTAGATGATCCAATTACCCGTAAAAGCGACGCGTTTCGACGTTCTGCCCAGATTCTCTATCATTATCCCTGTTCCATTTCTAATTTTCGCACGCATCAAACTCGATCTTGTTTATTGTACAAAGATGTATTCTAAGATATTGTACAAAGATGTAATCTACATCGTTATATATAACTATGGATGTTCGTTAATATATACGTACATACACATATATATACACATATCTATGTGCATATATAACTATTAAATATATATGTATATATATATATATATATATGTATATATATATCTATATATATATGTATATATATATATGTATATATGTATATATGTATATATGTATATATGTATATATATATATTGATTAATGTTTCTTACTTGATTTTCTCACATTTAAGCTATTAAAATTACAAGTGCTAATGCAAACGAGGCAATATATATCACGCTGAAGGTACATGATCAAATTGAAATTCCTGCCGCTAGAATTTATCGAATGAAAGAGAAGAAAAAAGAGAAAAAACGAAGCTAATATAAATCCAGAAAGTAATAATAATCGAAGAGAATGCTACTCGCGGTAATTTTGATTGTATTCTTGACCAGCATTATTATCATTAGTACATCGTTAAACACCCACAGTTATTACACAGTTATTATCTGGATCTCTATAATCACTGACGGTTCGGTGTTGCGATCGTGACGATCAAACGGGAACGTACACCTGATAAAATTCAAATCAATTCGCCCATATCACTGGCTTTCGCACGCTATTCTAAACTGTGAGTACTCTGAAGTAGTCTTCTTGCAAGACTACTCTGAAGTAGTCTTGTACTATTCCTTTACGTAAAGATTATCTTTCTTTCTCCCTGTACCTGTAAATGGGGTACTCGAAAAGAAAAGTTTTGGATACTTCGAACAAAGACTACGAGCGCCTCTCATAATTGTCCTATCACGATCGTTCCGCGAGCAATTTATAATAACATTCGTGAAATCGTCGTGAAACACCGGTCGACAAACCTTCTGCTTCTCCTTCTCCCTCTCGCGCCGCTTTTTCTCTCGACACTCTCCTTCTTACGCACGCAAAAAAAAGAATAATTCGCGAGTAGTTTGGTTGAAAGTAAAAGAAAATCGCAGAAGAACCGATAACTCATGTCTCTCCCCTTTTCGCACTATCACTCACACTGGTATCTTCAACTGGCTGCGATGTCAAGCTGAAACACTTCTTTGACTGGATACGACGACAACGACGATGACGTAGACTTGACTTGAGACGCGATAGTCGATTTTACATTAGTAGAATAATAAACCGAGTTATCGAATTTTCTTACGACAACGGAGCGTGACGCGAGGTGACTTATTAATAGCAAACCGCCTCCAACATCTCCACGAACAGCTTGTTCATCGGTACTTTCCCCGTTCTGTATACACTAGACCAAAACCGCCTGACGATGCCATCAGCTTGCCTGAGACTGGGTAATACTAGGAACATGTTCTGCGTGGTGCGGAGCGCTTGACCGGGTCTCACCGCCGCTACACAGTCTGACAAGGAGTTCAAGATCGAATCACGGAAACGGTAGAGTGCCTGCGGCTCATCGGATTTAGCGTCGCTGTTTGCCAAGATCAACGCCTTCAGCACGTAGTATTCCTCTCGCGTCAAGCCCAATCGCTGAATCCTCTCCACAATTTGTATACACTGTTTGGGAAAAAAGAGAAAAAACGCGATCCAATAAGCGCGTGTAGCAGATAAAAATTACCAAAGAGACGAAAGACGATTGCAATTTACGAGATCCTCACACATTGCGTGGTATACTCGAGAAGCTTACATTTAAATCGTCACGTATATTTACGAAAACATATTTCTAAAAAGCAAATTTAAGAGAGCGACAATGAATAATAAATTATCGAGAATTAACATCAAGAGATACTTGCGCGTAAAGTTCATTTACAAATTACTTACATGTGTGTATAAATCCATACAGTGGCATTCGAGCGCAAGTCTCTCATCTAATGTAAAGTCTTGCGCGAACCTCAATCTGCCACTGTTCGGCGTACTTCTCCATGCGAGAGTGAAGGTCAATATTTCGGCCCAAGTGCTTTGCAGAAGTCGTATCTGGTCGTTCAGAGCTAAACTGCTAAATCCTGGAATCTGCTTGGCCCAACCTGCACGAAAACAATAACATAAGATGCTGATAGAGCGAAGTAAAACTTTAAATTTCATCACTAATATATAGTACGGTCTGAACAACACTTTTACCGATTATTCCAACTAGTTCTCGATCGTACAGATCTGACAATTGGCCGAGAACTCTTTGGTCTGTCTCCAACGAATGCGAAATACTGGACACTGAAAGCATGTCCGGTTCGCAGGCAGCTAAGGCCTCGACCATCTTGTTGTCTGCAACACACGTGTGCCTTTTCGGTTAAATTGTTTTAAAATGATGTGCTAAAATATCGATGTATCAGTTATTAGCAAGTGGGAAAAATAGGAAAAATACAGACGTTAAAGAAACAATGAATTGTGACATAAAAATTGAGAGTTACAACCGAAATCAAGATAAAAAGCGGATGAGAAGTACATGATAACGACTCGATATCTTACTTATCGTTTCGGTAGGAGCTGCCGACGTTACGTTAGCTTGAAACATCGAGAACACAGTTAAAAATTAATAGCTTCTTTCCAAAGAAACAGAGAGAATGATGTATCTTTATTTTATTGGATTGGCCAAAAAGTTTGGTTCGATTTTTCACTCTATTTTTCTTTTCATCTTTGGCGGGAATAGATTAAATCAAGTAATCGTAGACCTCTTTGACGATTTGCCAACATTCTTAGCCAAATTCATATACTTGAGATAGAATGAAATGAATCGTCTCAATATCAAAATAAGTTTTGAGACAATTGTTAGTTTTTTATTTTAAACAACTTGTGTTTTATCGTAATAATTACCTCTACACGATAAAACAGCTCGTTTGAAAGAAAAAAAAACTAATAATTGTCTCAAAACTTATTTTGATTCGATTCGTTTCAGTCTATCCTACTACATTGTAGAATATAGCCGACTCAAACAGAGTAGAAAATCGGACCAAACTTTTCGACTATAATCCAATAATAGTTATCTCTCTTATTTGCCATCGTGAAATCGATGTGAAATACAGCGACATAGAAGCGTATTAAAAAAAATTACCCTCTAACGTGGCGCTGCTCTTGACAGGTGTGTAAGGATCCGTGGACCTTCTGTACTTCTGTCGGCCGCCCCTGACACGGTCCAATCTCACGCCCTCCTTCAACATGCCTTGTCGCAAGCATTTCTGAAATCTACACGCTTGGCACGCCTTCCGCCTGCGTTTGTTTATCTCGCACTCGCCGTTAGCTGGACACGTGTACTCAATATTTCCTGTAAAATTGCTGGCTATTTTATCGTAATATACGCGGTCCTGCTCCAGATAGCACCAACGGTATTTTCAAATGTCTCAGACTTGATGACGATTGTCTCTCTCACCAGCAAATTGTTGGATGCGCAATTTGTAATTCAATTTTCTTCCGCGACGAAATACGACGTTACATAAGAAAAAGACCGTTTTAAATAGTCTCATGCAATCTCTTTCGCATACTTAATCATTGATAAACTAAAGGTATAAACAGTGTATCTTGCGCCGCGTAAATAACATTTGTAGTATGTTTCTCAGAAGTGATAAGATCGCTGTCCTGTTTGTACTAACGACGGATAGAAAACTCATATGACAGCTTAACATATAAATTTCATACAATCGATGTGTTGCAACGCGTATTAACCCAGTAGTCCCTTGATGCTATCTGGACGAATTATTGCGGCCTGTAGTTGACAGATCGATAAGACTCTCTTACCTTGTATAGTCCTCTTGAAGAAGGCCTTGCATGCCTCGCAGGAGGCGACACCGTAGTGAAAACCACTCGCAACATCGCCGCAAACTAGGCAGAGCCTTCTAGGCATCATATCTTCTTCTTTAACACCGTCCTATACAGATAACGATATTAGAATAAAGCACACTCAATCCCGAGGAATTTATAAAAGAAATATCCACGGTTACGTACATCAGGAGCTCCCAAAGGTTGCGTTGTGGAAGAACAATGGTGCATTTCTGGACTCTCGGGACTACCGCTATCGCCATAATCTGGTGGAATGTCCAATTTCGTGCATATTGACTGCAAAAATGTACAATTAAAATGATAAAGTGCACGATTAATCGACGCAGTAATGTGGCTAACAATATATGTTCGATAGATTATAATGGACGATGTGCGCATAATGAATGATTAATAACTCATAATATAATTGCTACAGTTAAGCATTAATTATTAACATATATATGCAGAGTATATCGAGATATACAAAATTACAGACATAAATTTCATCGACTGATCCTTCCATCGATTTACAATTAAACTCTATTTATTAATAATAATTTCAATGGGTGTCGTCTGCTCATATATTTCTACAATTTTTTATATTAAACGTGAAAAGTGTTATACCACTTATCTGTATCAGTGACAATTCATTTTAGAGAAAAAGTTGTTCATTTCAAATCGCATATAATTGGGAAAAGTCGTCACTAGTAAATATTACAACAAAACATGATGTTCTGTGTATACGTGTTGGTCGTGCAGAACACCTTGCCGCTATACCGTATTAACGTTTAATGACAGATCCAATTTAAAGTCGTTTTTTCCTCAATTAAAATATTAAAAAAGATGATGAAAGAATCTCATAAAAATTCAAGGAAAGATCGACTACAAATTATTCAAAATGCTCGCTATTAATCCATTGAAACCACAATGCAAAAAGTTTTAATCAGAACAAGGATATCAGATTGATATTATATAATCATTAAATAGATACTTTTGTTCCGATGTACCTAAAAAAAAGCGCGTTGGACGTTACATACGAAATCATTTAAAATAAAAAAGATAAATCTTCGTAGAATTTATTTCGTTAATCACGTGTGTAAGATATTTGAAAAGAAAAAAGATTACATAATCATTTCTGTTCAAAACGCTGCGATTTGTACGAAAAGTTAGACAAACAAAAAATCATTCACTGCCACAATTCTTTAAAATGAGCTGATAAAGCTGTAGTCCCGAAATCGTTGGGACGATTCATTGGGAAACTCATTAATGAGTTTTGGACGTTGATGCGGTAACGCGACGGTGCACGTCCTCTGGGCGTCCCGTCATGAGGAACCGATCGACCGAGTTCTCTCAACTACTTTAATACCTCCTGATGCTGAAGGGTCGTAGTAGGCGAGCATACTTGATAATTTTGCGTAGGTGTCGTTGGATTGTCGACTTCCTGCTTGATGTTCGGCATCGTCGTTCTGTTATTCCCAATCATACTTTCCGTAGTAGCGCCAGACATCATACAGACCTGTCGAGAGATACGAAAGAGATAACGTAGATTCTATTCCTGTGGCGTCGACGAGGACGTATCTCGTATATCTACGGATACGTATATCGCGAATCTCAATAGAATTATTGCAAAAAAAAAAAAAAAACAAAGAGAAAAAAGAGAGAGAGTCCGGTTATTCGTAAGCTGACGGAACGGACTGGGACAGATTGGCATCGTCGTGAGTATCGTCGCGAAATATAATAAGAGTGGTCCATCGCGCCCGCTGCGATCTTCTCTGCAACGTCGACGGTTGCACCTTTTTTGCGGCCGCTATATTTAAGTACGGCCAACGCCTTGAGCATTTTTAGAATTGACTTCGGAGAATTCGCGGTAGCGCGCCAGCCAATGCCTCCCGGCGAAGATCGCGGCCTTTTTTTCCTCCACGAGCTGATCTATCTGCGTACGCATTCGAGACGAGAGAAGCCCGGTCCATCGGAAAACGTGAAAACTGAGAACACTGGCGTATATTACTACACACCGCTACGAGCACAAGATATCATTACCTAAGGTAACCGCTGACTCGATGGTAACTCTAGCCACTATTTCAGATATCAATGTTACGCACGTGTATGTGTAATATATATATGCGCGTCTGTGTACAATAACACTTGGATTTGCAAACAAATTAATTTGTTTGCCTCCGTTTGTATGGCCGAACACGTCTTTAACGATCACTGAAGTAGCTTTCACATGCTTACAGGCGCTCTCTCTCGAGTTCAAAATAAATATTCGAATCCTAAATGTACTTCATGTACATACTCTTGTCTATAAGAGATCCAAAATTCTCCGGCACGTCCAATGTTCCCCGTCGACGTTACTTGAGAATGTTTCACTCGCGCAAGAGCGACTTCTAATATACACGCACACACAATTGCAAGTAACACAGCAATAAAATAGAAACGTGCGTATGATTAGTCTTCTCCGTTTTTTCTCGGATTGATTGTTCTTCGATGCATGTCGAGCGTATTACACTTTAGCACAAAGTCATCAATACATCATGTTATCTTGACCTTCTTTATTCTTTCTTTTATTTTTGATTTATCGCGTCATAAAAAACGTCGTAACGCTTGACTTCTCTCGTTAAAATGTAAATCAAATGTGAATATCCGCCACAAAGTGATACATCTTGAGAGCTTTGTAGTGGAACGTAAGGTTCTTGTGGGAATTTCTCGATGTGCTACATTTAAGAATAATAATTGATTCGATAACGCTATGCCATTGGACGAAACTGCGTTAATATTTCGAGCGGCTCGAGTGCGCCCTAGAATAGAGAATCGGCGAACAAAGTAACGGTGAAAGGATTGCGTAAGCCCCCTTTCTCCCTCCCTTTCTATTCGGTCTTGGTGGTATCGTGTGTCGTGCGGCCGCAGAAAGCGAGAGTTGCGCGAACGGAAGGTGGAGAGGAACGTCTAGTCGACCTTGAACTTGACTTCTTTTTCTAACACGAAGACATGCCGGACTTTCGCTTGCGTTCGCGACCACCATCAATTCGATCGGCGCAAAATTTGCAACGGAATCGCCGAGGTCGGAAAACGCGATGAGTCATGTCTCTATCGAAAGTTTGGTTACGAGAGGAATTGTATTCCAACGAAGACGGCTCCACACTTGTGTGGGGACTAGACGAGTTCGATCTGGATCAGACCGCAATATTTCACCTATCTCACCGATTCCAGACAGTAAAGATCGTTAATGTGCTGGCCGTCTCGTTCGTATTCCGGTTGTGCTCAGGATCGATTAAGTGGATCAGAATGCGTGGACTCAAAGAGATGTCGGAATCAGAAAAACGCGGCGTTTATTATATAGCTGACTCACTTCTCGTTGTCGCTCATAATTATAGATCTGTTTTCTCGCGATTACGGCGACACAAATACGAGCAAAGCCGATAATCTCGTGCCTGCTCCCTCCGCCGCTCTTCAGACGCGGCTCTAAAAAGGGATGGCCGATCGCTAAAACGGGCTTGCACTTGACGCGGGATGTGTTGGTGTACGACCGGCCCTATGTCTATTACAATATATTCCAGCGAATGGCTAAGGAAGGGAAAGGGTTGCGTAAGTGTTCTCCTCCCTCCGTTCGATCCACGTTTGATTGAGAGCTCGAGAGGAGCGGATGGGAGTGACTGTGTTGTATGTGTGTGTGTATTTGTAAGAGATTGTGAGAGAGGAGGAGGAAAGAGGAGATAGATAGATAGATAGATAGATAGATAGATAGATAGATAGATAGATAGATAGATAGATAGATAGATAGAGAGAAAAAGAGAGAAGGCCTCGAAGCGTCTCGCCGGCCTTGAACTTGACTTTTCTGCGAGAGCGAGAAGCTGTCGCACGCGTTCGCGAAGGCCGCGCGGAGCCACGGCATCGCAATTTTAGACGCCGCCGACTGCCGGCGGAAACGGCCGACAACCACGACCTTGGGCCTCTCAATCTCGTTTTATCTCGTTTTATCTCCTCCTCTGTCCTACCTTCCTGCTGCCTGCGTGTCCGTGACTCTCCTCCGTTCGCTGCATCACATCGACGCGCAACGGCGGAGCGCGACGCGACGCGGATCCTGATGCTGCGCTACCGACACCTTTCACGGACACCACCGACGCGACGCGACGCGCGCTGCCTGTCTCCGGTCACTGAATAAGCGGAATCACGAAAAACACCGCGTACGTCCACCACGAATCATCCGGACATTGCGCTAAGTGGTCGGCGAAACGACCCGACCCGACTTAACGGTGCGAAGTACCGTCAATTTAATGTGATTTTTTTTTTTAGTCCGTCTCTAGAAAGATTTTCAGTAGAACAATTCTTTGATCTTTATCTGTATACATATGCATTGGTGTCGCGAACAACTCCGAATTATTCGGCTATCTGGGAGCCCGAAATGTCAATTATCGGTATATGATGTAATCCGTCGCGTCGAGTGTGTGTTTAGGAAATGTCATTATCGCGATATAATTACGGAGTCGTGGTATGTGGCGTCACGCATACTCGAATTAACAGATGAGTGCACTCTACCGACGCGGGGGCATTAATACGCGTTGAAATAATAAACGCGTGATTGCTCGAATATAATTGCGTTCTCACAACAAATAGAATAACGGGCCATTGGCGTCGTGCGTATACCGTAAACGAGGACACCGGTAACATTCTGATATCATATGAGCGATTAAAGATCAAGAAAGAAAAAAAAAAAAGCGTCGCGCAAATGAATAAGAGTAAATGTTCGCGCGATCGTTCAACGAACGCGCATCTCGTCGCTGAAGTGCAATTATTTAATCGGCATGCTGATCAGATCGCGGTTGCTACTCGAGTTGATCGTGCTCCAATCGCGAGAGTATTCTCCAGCCTTCGCTGTCGAAATCTTCAAGGCTCGCTGCGTGAAACTCGTCGCAGTCGTTTTCGAGAACAGGTCGATTACGTAAGCGAGAAAAAGCCTCCCAGCACGCGGCGCGGCGCAACAAAAGCGACAAGAGGAAAAACGGCTATTTCACCCGGCGAGTGCGAAAAACCGTCATTTCGATACAACGACATCGATCAGAAGGGAGAAATTCATCGATACTTAACACCTGAATAACGGAGTAATTAACAAAATAAAATATCAATCGCGCGGAACTCAAACGTTTCTTCGAAGCTTTCGACGCTCTTTCTCTCTCTCTTAGCAATGTTAAATTTTCGAGATGTTTACGTTCATTGCCGTCCCCGCCTCGATCGTTAATTAGGAAAAAAGATAACGGAGATTAGAGATAGATGCTAATAGAACGAAGAAATAAGACATGACTGGATGACGCGCGCGCACAAGTAAAACGGTATCGTGTAAAACGTGTAAATTGAGATACGTAGCGGTTAATATCGGTTAATAAACAGCCGCATATCTGTTGCCAGGTGCGATATCGGCCGATAGAGTGCAATTCGCATAACTGTCGCAATAACGCACACTTCTTCGCCGCCAGCCGAGAGAGAGACCTGCCTTAAACCGCCCACATCGTCGACACACCGAGGGCCCGAAAACAATGAACATTTTTGCACCGGCGACAATGTGTGTGCCCAAGTGATTATCGCGCGCGTTATCGCGACGGATATCGAGGAAAAGTCTAGCCGGTCAAACGCACGCGAGCGGCATATCGAGTATCGACCGTCCTTTTTTGCTCGGTCTGCGGAATAAACGTCGCCTGCTGTTGCCTTCCCTTCCCATCCCTCCCCCTAATATAAAGTATTACAACCCGCGCGGCATTTTTCCAACACCTCGCGCAAGCCCGACGATCGTGCCACGATTTGATCAATTAATTAATCTCCCTACAATCGCATCCTCGCGACACCGCGGTGTGACAATTTTCACAATTTGTTACGCGTTGGTCCTTAGAAAAGAAATAATTACTTTGCTCCTTTTTTCCAATTTGACTGTTTGCTCTCTCGCTTCTCTCTTGCTGTAGCATCGTGGAAACGTCAAACTGCGCCATTCCCGAAATAATCGGCAACAAGTCGACGACGTTATCTATGAATTATTATAACCGTCTTGTCCGCCCGCGAAGTCGGAATACCGCGGCTCTCTGTGTTATGCACGTAGGTGGTTACGGAATTAGAACGCGAAAAGAACAGATCGATCCCTCGAGGATGAAGACCCTGGGTCGCGGTCAAGGCCGCAGCCTTGGCGAGAACTACGCTCCGATTTCGCATCGATCTCATCCAATAAAAATAGCGCGATAACATAAGGCCGTGTGATTTCGCGGTGTTAAAACGGCCGTGGGTATACTGCAAATATACACGGAATATGCGACACGGAAGCGATAAACGTCTCTTGGAAGTCTTAAATGTTTGAAGGTTTCATTTCCGTTTTGAATGATTCATAAATCACTGCCACACAGACGGCACGAATTTGGGCAGTGAATTAGATTTAGCACGTGAATTGTTTCATTTCTTTTTATATGAATTCACAATTTCATATCAGGTCGGCAAAATAAATCTTAATTTCAGGTGTGATGCAGGGAAGAAAATTGATTTAACTGTCTTCATATATAAACTCGAAACTGGCGCGGGATTTTATTATGTAATATATCAAATAAGTCTATATAATTTTAGAAGGTCTGCACTAGACTCACCCGCAAAAATAACTACTACTCTCTTAATAGATAAAATAATAAATAGATATTACAAGAGCACTGTCGAGCGCTTTCGACGAAAATCCATACACACCTACAAAAAATCCCGTCTAAAAAAGTTATTAAAAACTTTACAAGAAAATGACTCGTACCATTCGTGTAAAACAGCACTTCTAACATTTTACTTTCGTCATCTGTTAAAACTACTATTGATTACCATTGATAATGACATCAGTATCTTTTTACATCACGAGATTTAAAAAGAACATCTACAGAGGGAATCAATTGGCCACAGTCGGGTCTAAACAAACATCCCCAACAGGATTAATGTAATCCTGCATGTCAAAGATAGGCTAGATTTTTCACTAGTATTATCACCAGATCACCAAGCAACTTGATCACTTACCAGGAAACTTCACCGATGTAAAAAAAAAAAAAGAAAAAATAAAATACGAAAAATCGTCGGCGGGGTTTGAACCTCCGACGGTAGACTGATCAGCCAACAGGAGGGAGGAAGGGAGGGGGAGAGAGAGAGAGAGAAAGAAAGGGAGATGGTAGGCTTCACCTCGATCAACGAGCGGCGGAATCGCGCTCTTGGTGTCGAGTTGTATCGCTGGTGGGGAACGATAATAATCGTTCTCTTCAGAGCGGCGCGGTGGCCCGGAGGGGAGTCAAGTTTAAGGCCGCGAGACGTCGATGACGTCATCTTAGAAGAAAGAAAGACAGAGAAAGAGACAGTGAGAGACCGGGGAGGGGGAGGGGGAGGGGTGAGCAAGTCCTAACCTTGGACAATGTGCGAAACGGGCCAAATAATCGGGCGGACAGGTACGTTCCCGACATAGAGTCGATCGACGATGCCGAGGCAAGCACATAGAGAGCGGCCAAACCTTCCGATAACATAGATCGCTCTGTTTATACAGGGTGTTCTCGTAAGACGCGCTCGTCGAGTGTGATACCACGGTGTATCGGTGGCGCGTTGCGTATCGCGTGTATCAAGATCGCTCGCCGAAATCGTTCGTTTTCACGTTATGAGGCAACACAGCGCGATGTATTTCTCTCCTATTTTATTCTCGTTGATAATTGTTGAGAGAAGCGATTAATGAGCGAATAATGAGAACAAACACCGCTCGTTCTTCTTCCTTTTTTCTGTCCTTCTTTTGTGCACTTTTCACCACGATCGATCGATCAATCGACGAGCACCCTTGCCGCAAACGCGACAATGCCGGCACTCGAGGTATCTCATGACTCTGAGATTCGCCCGTCGACGTCGGGTGTATGAGAAATGCATCAGCGATCGCTGATCACCGTATGCACGTGTAGTCTGTGTAAGAGGCGACCTTCGCATTGCTACTCTATCACGGCCACGTTTCGCTTCCTACTCGCGAGCACTTGTTTATGCGCAACTAGCGATGTGTCGTAATACCTTTTCCAATAAACCGGCTAGAATTCGCGCTAAGTGTTCGATATTGTCTCCTTCCGTTTAACTTTTTATATCTATGTCTGAACTGATAATCACGTCATTAACTTGGTGCGAAAGATAAATCGCGCTCACGGCACTAATTTCAGCGAAATTTTTAATTAATCGTAATACAATCACCACTAAGTCCAACATACTTTTCTCATCTAAAGAAAAAGTTTCCCCAATTTCCTCTTTCAGAAGTCTCAAGTTGGTAATTTTGTCCGAAACGGAATTGGATAGAAGAAGACGACAATGCGCTTTAGTTACATCACTGAAATTGATTTCTCCTTAAAGAAATTGCTAGAGCACTCTGAGAATTATAAGCGACCGTGAATGGAGAGCTTCTCGCGAGCCTCAGTGATACAAATAGATAATAGAAATTGATAATAGAAATCTCAATTTCGAAGCGCCACGAATATCAAGATTTGCTCATCAAAAACTGATAACACGAATGCGATAAAGTAAGGCAAAGTCGCGCTTTCTCGCGGTTTGTCTCGCGAGATCTCTCGAGCACGCGTTCATATCCCAAACACACGAGCGTCGGCGTGAACTCTTCGTTAACCCGACATGTCTTGAGACGAGACAAATAATATGCATCATTATATGATCATTATCGATTCGAAAAATATCGAATCGACAGAGTTCAAGTACACACAACCGTGAAGATCGAGCTGAATTCGCGCATCGTAGGCGCATCATAGTCGAGACGCTAAATAATATCGGCGATGATAACGTAAACATGGTATTTGGTTATATCGCTCTTCGTGGTGGACTGCCTTCTTCCCCTCCTCTTCCTCCTTCTTTCATGGCCACGTGGAGTTGCGTAAGAATCGCGACGCGTATGGCGGTGTGGGTGTGTGCAAATGCGTGCGTGATGCGTGCATGCGAACACGACGCACCACTATCGCGACTATTGTCCATTTAAGAGAAACACTGTCGGGAATCACTCGCGAGAGTCGAATGCGGACGAATGAAGCCTGAAGAGAGAGCCGTCGGAAAAGTAATGGCTCGAAAATAGCGCGGGTACTTCTCAAGTGGGCACCAATAACTTGGACTCGATAGGCAAGAAAACAAAGTCGACTCCTATTATCTCTGCGGGCAGATAAAACAATTGGTGCAAATTGGGTAGAGAAGACGTCGGAAACTTTTTCTTAAAGTGACGGAAGTGTATCCAAGTAGAGTGATGATTATTTCAACTGATAACAATTGAAATAATCAAATGATTATTAACACTGTGTTCGACGCGACGCGAGCACTCCGAAAATCTCTTGTGACACATGCACGGAAAAAAATAATTTGCTGCAGCAGCAAACTAATTTGCTACATATGGACAATTAAATATAATTCGCTGTTAGCTACTTTTTTGCTGCAGGAACCGATTTTCTTGCTATGATAACAAGAAAATCTGCTCCTACAGCAAGAAAAGTGGCTAATGTAGCAAATTTGCTACATGGCAAATTTGCAGATGGCCAATTAAACATAATTTACTGCTTTAGCTACTTTTTTTGTTGCAGGAGCAGATTTTCTTGTTATCATAGCAAGGAATTGGCTCCTGCAGCAAAGAAAAAGCTAATACAGCAAGTTATGTTTAGTTGTCCATATGTAACAGATCTTTTTTTTCCGCGTGATTTATCGAATTTTTTCGTTCTCCCCGAAAATAAAACAGTGTCAGAGCACACTGTTATATAAACGACAAGATGTTCTTTCTTTTTACAATTATATAACGCCACGGAGAACAATAATTCGATAATCAGTCGAAGAAGAAAAAGGGTAGCGGCGCGTGTACATGTCGTCGTCGGCGATCATAAATTTCGGCGCGCACAACGTAAGCAATGCAATTGATCCACATGACATCAGGCGCTCTTTCGTGCGGGCCGCTTCTCGCCCGCGAGAAGACGCGTGTATCGGCGGCTGCGCGAATCTTTCTTGATCGTCAAACGAAGCGCGAAATCGTCGCGAGTGCGTTCGCACTCGGCGAATGCGTTGGGGAGTCCAAGACTGCCGGATGCTCGGAGTACTTGGGCAGATTTGAGATTAATTTTGCGTTGGTGCTTCCTTCTGCACCGAGGTGCGACTCCGCGATATATATTTCGCACAGAAGTTTAAATCGTTTCTGTGTGTGCGTGTGTGTGTGATCGTCAATAACCGAGCAATTATCGACATCTGTGATTCGGCGTCTTGATGCATCATCATAATCGTCGCGTAATTGTTATCTTTCAATTATGAAATTTATTGCGAAGATAAGCGTTTAGGAGCAACGGGGACAAAGGCAAAGAAACGAGGAAGCAAAGAGGCGCTCGAGACAGCGAAAGCTCGTCGTCCGGGCACAATACTAGCAGCCAAACGCGCGCTCCTTCAGACCGTGATCACAACAAACAATTTTTTTCCCTCTCGATATTCCCTATAAAATCTAGATCGCGGAGAAGCTTCGCAGATACTCGTATGTATCTCATACGACAATCGAGTCGTATGGATTATGATGGTACCTCATAAACTCTCTTCCATCCTCGATAATATTGTATTCTAAGTGCAATTTCGTAGAAGCGTGCAGTCGCGCGCACTCGCGAAATTTTTCATTTCGCAAGATTTCCCAGCGGATCGGCGCGAATTGACGAGCGGCGGAGGAATTAGACTCGGGACAGATTACCTAACAGGTCGCGACTCGTCGTAACGTAATAATGACCGACTTGTCGAGAGATAAACGACTGCGCCGACGTAAGGATCGAAGCCGGCATGCAGTTTCGGTGAGCTCGATTTCCGTTGATGTCGCCACAAAGCGGCGAGAACCCGAGGGAGAATTTTCAGCCGCCACGTTTCATCTGCTCGCGAATATACGATATCGTCGCGTTTCACAAAATTCACAGAAGAAAAGGACGAACGTGAGGGATCACGCGTGCGCGCGCGCGCACTTACGGCATCCGAATCTGTATTCGACGAAAAGACCCCGCTCTAGCGATATCGACGCTGGACTATATATCTATATTTTACGCTCCTTCGACGAGAGAATCGTAAAGGCCGGGCCATAAAGGTCGAAATCAAATCGCGCATAAGCCGAGAAATAACGCGCGATCGTCGTGAAATCGCACGAGGAAAATCATCGAAATCACGCCACACTGACTCGATAATCGCTTTATCAAAATACAACCGCCAATCGTATGATCATCGATACAAGGTGCGCTATTTTTTCACTGACAGCGCGGATCCGCGATAGCCTCCATTCTCCGTGTTCTCACTCAAAGGGAGCTGTGAGTACAGCAGGTGAGGATGGCGCGGCGCAGCGCAGCGCGCGCAGCACGTAAACAAAGCCACGAGATCGGCGATGGTGCGGAGGAGGATGAAAGAGAAAGAGAGAGAGAGAGAGAGAGAGAAAGAAAGGGGGGAGAGAGAGAGACGTTACGTGCCATAATCCACGTACCTACATACGACACTTACCACGTCGTACATCCACGCGTCCATGGCTGTCTCGTTCCACCGTGGCACCCAAAAAAAAAACAGATGCACGTACGCCTCACAACCAGAATCGACGGCGCGATCGCGACATTCGGCACTAATTAATCGTCCAGCGATTCGTCCGTCCGCGGCAACGCGGTGCGACACGTATGGGCGAACGAGCGATCCCGTGTGTACTTAAAAGCACTCTCGCACCACGACGTACACGCCACCGCGGGCCGGACGCGACTGAAGGCGCTAACATCGGCGCGCTAAGTGAATCCGGCGGGTGCACGGCGGACTGTCGCGTCGCGACGCGACGCGACGCGCGAGACGAGAGAGTCGATGCCGCGCAGCTGCGTTCGTATCGATGCGCGCGATATACAATAGCAGAAAGCCCAATTTCTCATATCTTCGTTCATTATCCTCGCTTTATATATCGTCGGAGCTAGACGAATAGAAGTCGGAGTCGTGCCATTGGACGGTAACTCCGTCGTTATCAAATCACATACGGCACGAAGTTCCAATATCACTTTATTCAATTAACGACAATAAAATCTTTTGGTGTAAATGTTCGTGCCGTTTGTCGTCGCGTTCATGCCGAGGTTTACTTCGATTCAATCTTTTTCGTATAGAGAAGACCGTCGTAATTTTTGTATCGCGTCAATTGTCCCGACTTTCATCACGTATTTATTCGCACCGAGCAAATACCGTAACGCAACAGCGATATTACGTTAGTTACATAAAAAGTAACGGCCTTGCCAGAATCTGCAATAACATTCTGCCGTTGCAATTGCAACGAATTAGGCAACGTCGAAAGATATCGTTTCCTTATCGCATTTATCGCAGATAAAACGCAGCGAGACAATCTAAAAGATGTTACCGTCTCCGGCGAACGCCGGCGTGCAATGTCATTTTGGGAGGAATCATGGCCACTGCCAATCGGTCGTTGACATTATGGCTGCCGTATCACCTTGATACGGCTTAAGTTTTATCGTCTCAACCTCGAGCGACTTTTCGTATCTACGCTGATTTGTACATCCTCTCTTTCTCTTTCCCTCTTTGTCATTGTATTATGCTGCACTCTTTTCAGGAAACAAGGAAGTATCACATGTTCATGAAGCATTTTCGTACAATTCTCATGATATTACCGATCACTTCTACAATGACTCATTCCAATAATCCGCCAATCATAATACATAAATAAAAGTTATTAGAGTAATAGGAAAAATATCCACCAGATAATTCGTTTTTATCCACTTAATTAACATGTATTAGTGTATAACATCCAAATTAAGCGGCTAAACTATAGAGAACGTCGGAACCGTTGACTGTATTAAGTAAATTATATTATAAATCTAATTAAATAAAATCATTAAAGATTTAATACCATGCAAATAAAAAAAATAGCGTTAATAATTATTAAAGCGTCGGACACAAGTTGTACTAATTTATTATCCCTCCGGAAAATCAGGTCGTCAATGGTTTTAAATAACTATCATCATCGTCCTCGATCTAGAGAAGGAAGAATTCGTAGATCCGTAGATCACTCTCCTAGGAAATATACGCTATCTTAATGACGTCTCTCTCTCTCTCTCTCTCTCTCTCTCTCTCTCTCTCTCTCTCTCTC